ATGATTTGTGCTCTTCCTGCAATAGTTGACCTACAAGCGTTTGCAACCATTGCAGACACAATACGGAAGTGTGATTGCTCCATCGTTTTTCATCGTCCCGTCCCTCTCACCCATGATCTTAAACAAGTAAATTCCCTCGGACCCTAATGCGATCTGATTGGATCATATTCCGCGATCTGCGGCGCTTAAAATCTCTCACCCCAACATGAGACTGTCTGATTACCGGCTTGTACGTTTTGTAATGCTCTTGTTGCGCCCAGTCCATCCGAGTGCTGATGGCACACCTGCTACACAGACGAAGTTCACTGGGCCTGCCTGAGACTCACAGCTGTAAAAAAGGTGTGGTTTCTCGCTCGGGCTAGCTGGGCAAGCACCAGGTCCCTTGTTGCGGCTGCACCAGTCGACCGATCGATAAATGAACCCGATCGGCCGTATGATTTTCAGGCCGGCACAGGAGAAGGATAGGTTCCGAATCCGATGCAGTTAGTGTTGGTAGAGAATCGCCCCAAGAGAATCAGTTGTGAAGCGGTTCGCCATTTGGGAAATTCCGAATGGAAAACGCTTAAGTGATTATGACACTGGGCCAACGCTTGACTCGTCTAAGATACACGTACTATTTTTCGAAGCGGGTTCGGTAAACAGATAATCATAATAAAACTTTGAACTTGTCTTAATAACGGAATACAATATCCCCTAATGTGGGCCCACGCAAAACTCTTCTTGATTTTTTTTCCAACTGGTTGTTTTTGCGTTGAACGATCTGGCTAACTACCTCGGAGATCGGATTCCGAAAGAAAGAAAGAACAAATATTACGGGGATTATTATATTAATATCATAAAAGATGTTCCACATGTTTTCCATTCTGTTGCTTGCATAGCCAAATCAGGTGAAGATACCGTTGCGATTAGCATTCAGCCATTCGCACAGGCTTGTAAGTGCCACTGATCCTGAAAAAAACATAAACAATGTCTGTGTTGCTGTGCATGTGTATTGGATACTATAAACAATACCGTAAGAGGTGTATGAGAGTTCAAATCATTCTATAAATACCATTTGTACTGTGAAGTGTATCAGATGCATAAGCCGTTTGACATTCAGTTGATAACCGCGTTTATCTCGCCCTAGCGTCATGGTAAATCCAGAGCTCTGACTGACTGTTTTTGAACCTGATCTGTCCCCCTTGGATTTCTTTCTGTGGGGATGTCTGAAGCGAACGGTTTATTCCCAAAAACCGAGAGCTATCGGAAAACTCAAATAGAATGCTCTATTTGAGTTGAGCATTGTTGCGCAGTACGAAAGCATTCCAACTGCTACCATTCTGAAGGTGGAGGGAAACTATCTTCACCTGATTTGG